CGCTCGCGGCCGGTGGTGTTCCGAGTCACGAGTCACGAGTCAAGGGTCACGATTGAACAGTCACCAGTCACAGGTCATGAGTCACTCATCACAAACCGAGCTTGGCTTCACCGGACAGGTGAGGCATCGTCACTCATCACACGCGCACCGGACAGGTGAGGCATCGTCACTCATCACACGCGCGCCGGACAGGCGAGGCATCGTCACTCATCACACGCGCACCGGACAGGTGAGGCATCGTCACTCATCACACGCGCACCGGACAGGTGAGGCATCATCACTCATCACACGCGGCACGGCCTGTGAAGGACGACAATGGTAATGGGCAAGGATGTTGTGTGCTCCGTGGTATGACGTTAACGTTACAGCGATGGTGGCGATGAGGACAAGCACGGCGGCTGCCGTCACTGCTCTTCAGAGGATGCGGTTAAACTGAACAGCTCTCAGCGCCTGTTGTGGACAAGAATAACTGAAACAACTATCCGTCAGTAGAGGCGCGAGTATAGAAGATTGCACAAGTAAATATGTCGATGAAAGTTTTTCCGCCACTTTACGTGTTAAAGGTTCTCAGTCCATTTTGTGCGACGGGGATTACACAACAGGTATGTGATAACGAGACGCTGGCTCTTTTCCCCGGTCATTTGCTAAAGGCCTCCTTCCGTGTCTAAGAGTCACGACAAGATGATTTTAACTTCTCAGACATCAGAGATAGTAGTTGGACTCTTTTCTGCAGTTTATCTTACTCAGGTTAGGCTGGTAAGGCAAGCACCAATCGTGATGCATTTCCCACCAAAGCCTTTGATGGCGGCGTAGCCAACGAGCTCACAAAACGAAGTGGTATTACACGACAAAAGTAACTGAGACCGGCACCAGGAGGATTGCTATACTAGGAGAACGACACCGGAGAAGATCGCAAAGTGCATTGATCTGTCAGTTGCACTGGTCACAGTGAAAGGGGTCCGATTAAATATGGCACATATATGTTGCGGCTGTAAAACTTCACATGGCGTTGCATCGTCCTTCAGCATCATCACTGTTCGTAAACTGCCTTTTGAGTCCCGTCGGACGCTTCTATCTGGAGGTGTCGGACAAATCTCGCAGGGTGCAGCATCTGATCGTTTTGTGCTGAGAAAAATGACTCGCGGCAAATGCAGCGCTTTTACCACAACCATGCTTACTTTTTGATAAGTGGTAGTGGGTTTTATGGGAAGCATTTTGCAAACGAGGTACGGGTCTATTTCATGTTTGGAAGCCACTGGAAATCTTTTGTTTCATTCTTCTAGCGCGATTGCGAAATCAACGCAACTTTATCGCTACCGGTGAGTGATACAGCAATTGTTAAGTGATCGATGATGGGGCTGACCCTAATGGCTGCTTTTTTCATCAGCTGTAGTGCGTATTTTGAATGTCATAAATTTGCAACGCATGAAATACACACATCTTTGTGAGCGAAATCGGGCCGAGCCAATAATACGTCATGCATTGATGAAATGTGGGTTGTGGCTCCTCACATTCACATTAAATGCTGCGTACTCTGCCGAACTGCCGACCGAGTCGCCCTGGCTAACCTTTGCTTCCGGAGGAGACGCCGCACCTGACTTTGGGCAGGATTGTACGAATTGGATGGCAGTAGAGTTTCTGAACTCCGTCATGAGAGAGGGTGAGTTTTCATTTGGCCGCGGATGATCCCGGTCCCAGCTTGCAGCTCGGCCGTGTGGCGTGTGCCGAGCTGTGGCACGGTGTGTTCGCCCCTCGGTGTTCTCGGTGCAATCTCTCGGGTTCCCGGTGCAATTGCTTTGTCTCGATTCAGCCCCCCCCCCCCCCCCCCGTCTCTCGCTCCGCGGTTTCGACACAACCCTCACAGTGTGCCGGTTCAGCCTCCTGTGCCCTGGTGCAGTCGCTCTGTGTCCCGGTTCAGCCCTCTGTGTGCCCCGGTTCAGACCCTCTGTGTGTCCCGGTTCAGCTTCTCTGTTTGTCCCGGTGTAGTAGTCCCTCTGCGTCCCGGTACAGCCTCTGTGGGTCCGGATTCGGACCCTCTGTGTGTTTCCGCTGTAGCCCCTCCGTGTCCCGGTTCAGCCCCCCCCCCCCCCCGTGTGTCCCGGTAAAGCTCCTCTGTGTGTCTCGGTGCGGTCCCTCTGTGTGTCCCGGTTCGGCCCCTCTGCGCGTCCCGGGCCCCCGTCGGCGAGTGTGGCGTGTACGGTGCGGTGGGCCGGCGCGTCGGCACCTTTGTGCCCTAGCCGGCCGTCACAGTACACCGGGGGATCAATACGAGCTCGGCGCGCCGGCCGAGGGGGAGGGGTGCGGGCCTGAGGGGCGGCACTCCAGCCAGGTGAGGCGACGGAGGCGCACAGACCCGCCGGCGCCGCCGACCGACGACCAGGTCAGCGCCGAGGGAGAGACAGGTCAGGTCACAGGTCAGGTCTGGGTGCCTGAGGATCACGCGGCCCGTCTCAAGGCTGGGCGGCTCGGGTTCCTGTCTCAATTGTTAAGGGAATGCTGCGGTGGGGTGGCTTGTTATGAGACAAAGGAATATGCAGTGTACATGCGTGGTCTGATAAGCGACGGGTCGATGATGACTCAGGTGCGTTAATGCCATTCATCGAGGTGTTTTTTTTCTCGGAGTGTCACTGACATCATGTACACATAATACCTGTGATGATGCACCATATCTTGGCGTGCTTTTTGGATTGTATCATGTTTTGTTTTGTTTTTGGGTGAGAACGGCTGTTATTCGCTGACTATCAGTTCCCGCAGTCGTATCTTTCTTACTGGGCAGACGGCATGCCAGGGCAATGGGACAGACAAGGTGGGAGTTCAGCACAGATTACCCAGAGTAGCAGGTGTGTGTGTGTGTGCGTTTGCACTGCTTGCTGTAGTGCTCAGTAAAGGTGTGGCGTCACAGAACGCAACCACTTGATCATCGGTCAACAAGAAGTTGAAGACAGCTGCGTCGGTGGTTCCATGCTAGCTTACTCTCCCCCAATGCCGGCCCGCATCGGTGCTGGTGAACACTGACGGAGGAGCATTGGGGACCAAACGCTGTTCCTTTGCATAGTTGGGCGCATGACATTCCGCCTGGACACAACATTTAAATTCAAACTCATCAGACGAGTGTGCCGCTGACAGGGCTGCTGTAGGAGAGGCCGTCGGATGCTGGATATGCGTTCTGTGACACCGCCTTGGATGGGGTCATGCAGGAGCGTACAGAGTTTCATGCAAGTGGCGAGAAATTAACTACTACATACGCTCGACTAACGCAACCATGTAGTCGCCATCGTGGCTCGGTCACTTCCCGTAAGTTTTGAACGATTCGGCGTGATCGACAGCTGTACGTGTTTCAAGCTTGGTGTTGATCACGACTGACATCCTGCCATACTCGGCTCGGTGCTGACCATGCAGTACAGGTTTGCTCGCATTTTCTGACATTTCCCTTAACAAGGCATTGAAGCGTTCAAATATAAATCATTCAAATGCAAGTACTGAAGTTGTTAATTACTAAATTCACGTAATCTTTTCTCAGTTCAATATCAATGTAAAAAGCGGAGGGTTTGTGTATCCCCATTTCAAGGCTTGTATTCGCCCTGGCTTCACAGAAACACTTAGTATTCATGGCCATCCACGCCAGCATAACTCTTCTTGGACGTTCCGTCAGCTGCAGCCGGTTCGGGTGAAATGAGGTTGAAGAGTTTATGTCCCGATTTAGGACACAGTGCATGGCTGCACGGCCGCTCTTATAGCCCGAGTGGCTATAGACTAACATAACCTCACGCCAATGTGTCTCGTTCTAAGCATACATAGGCGTCTTGAGCGAATGACCAAATCGTTATAAACCAGACGTCTGAAAATGGACACGGCTGTTGCAGATTTGACCGATCTAATACCACATGCCTAATTGCCACGAGAATGTGCATACCAGTGCCAGGCACATAGATAGTGTTCGACGCAGTGTGCAGTTCGACCATGCACTTCAAAGACAACGGTCTTTCACTGGTCTGTCGCGAAATTAGTGGCAACCACTGCTGTAGTGTGAGTTCTGGGACCATCATTTGTGGCTCCTCCGCGCTACAGCGTTTGTGTCTGGCAGTTCGTGGCGTCAGCCAGCAATCGCCACGCGCCTCGGATTGGCTATCTCCCGTGCAGTAACCACCACCGGCGTCCGCGGATTCCTGGCCCCAGTAACGCTAGTGTAGATTGGACTATTTTCATTTTATGACCATATAAAGTGGCTCCAAAACAGAAATGGGCCCATTGGCATTTCTGGTGTTTTAATGCCCATGAGCATTCATGCTAGAAACCACTGCACAAATGTGTGTCGGGCGTGTTGATGCCTTGGCGTGTCTATCACACCCCACATGTCGCGGCATCCAGTATCCAGACAGGTCCAGTTCACGCGTGTCCGGTCTGCTGCAGGGCTGGGGCCGTCAGAGTCGGCAGTTCAGTGTGTCCGGTCTGCTGCAGAGCTGGGGCCGCCGGAGTCGGCAGTTCAGCGTGTCCGGTCTACTGCAGGGCTGGGGCCGCCGGAGTCGGCAGTTCAGTGTGTCCGGTCTGCTGCAGGACTGGGGCCGCCGGAGTCGGCAGTTCAGTGTGTCCGGTCTGCTGCAGGACTGGGGCCGCCGGAGTCGGCAGTTCAGTGTGTCCGATCTGCTGCACGGCTAGGGCCGTCGGAGTCGGCAGTTCAGTGTGTCCGATCGGCCGCAGGGCAGGGGCCGTCGGAGTCGGCAGTTCAGTGTGTCCGATCTGCCGCAGGGCTGGGGCCGTCGGAGTCGACAGTTCAGTGTGTCCGGTCTGCTGCAGGGCTGGGGCCGTCGGAGTCGGCAGTTCAGTGTGTCCGGCCTGCTGCAGGACAGGGGCCGTTGGAGTCGGCAGTTCAGTGTGTCCTGTCTGCTGCAGGGCTGGGGCCGTCGGAGTCGGCAGTCTTCGGAGGCGCCGCCGCAGCTCCGGCTGTGGCTCGGACGCAGGGCGCCAGAGCAAGCCAGGCCGCGTTAGGGGACCGACCGAAGAGAGCTGAGAAACGACAAAAGCGGCTTGCGTCTGGCGGCGGGCTGCAGCGCGCAGGCGGTGTGTCGACTCCTCCTGAACCGGCTCGAGGTGTCGGCTCCGACTCTGCCCCGAGCGGTGGGTGACGTCACGCGCCACCGAAGCGACGGCATCGCCCACGGCGAGGTCGGCGAGGGTCGGCCAGGTGCTCCAGGTCAACTGCGAAGACAAGCTGCACCGACCGGGGGGCCTCGCACAGCGTCCGTCAGTCGGTCGCATCGTCACGAACGGCGGAAATCACCGGAACAACGGCCTAAACCGTGTGAACCACGGCCGAAACCGTGAAACCGCCCACAAACCATCGCGTCGCTCCGTGCGCGACGAGAGCCGACAGCCTGTGAACGCCGCCGCTGAGTGCCGCGCCCCTGAGCACATCACAGACGGCACAGCTTGACCGGAGCTCAGCTGACCCCTGGCGTGACCTGCTGACGTCCCGCCGCGGCCATGGACAAGTACGAGAGCCTGGGTATCGTGGGAGAGGGCTCGTACGGGGTGGTGGTCAAGTGCCGTCACAAGGAGTCCGGCCAGATTGTCGCCATCAAGAAGTTCCTGGAGGGCGAGGAGGACGCCCAGGTGAAGAAGATCGCTATGAGGGAGGTCCGCATGCTCAAGGTGAGACGTGGTGGTCCGCACACATCGCGTCAAGGCTCGGTTGAGTGGAAGAAAATTGCGCCCTGTTCCTTCAACATTTATCACCCTCATACTTTGGGATGCCTCCGACCATGGCGTGATGAGCTGAAAATAGTCCCCCATCTATAAAAATACCACAATTTATCAGTTATTTCCTAGCGCCACACGTGCGTCACCGCCCCCCCCCCCCCCCTCGGGCCAATTCCAGCGGTGCGATGTTCTGAGCCTGATCGTGGTCTGACTCGGTGACCTGACACCTTTCCGTGTCGGTGCCTGCAAGTTGCGTCACGAAAACGTGCTGACCCTGTAAACCTGCAACCGAGAACTGCTGTGACACTGACCTGTGGCGCTGGCGTGTGACAATGGACTATGACGCTGATCTGTAGTCTTGACCTGTAACACTGACCTGCAATATTGATCTGTGACATTGACTCGTGGTGCTGACCTGTGGCACGGACCTGTAACGCTGATCTGTGGTATTGACTTGACCTGTGACCTGACCTGTGATACCGACCTGTGACGTTGGCCTGTAACATTGACCTGATCTGTGACCTGACATGTGATACTGACATGTGGTGACTCTGATCTGTGACGCTGACCTGTGACACTGACCTGTGGCCTGACCTGTGACACTGACCTGTCATACTGACCTGTGACCTGACCCGTGACCTAACCTGTGACCTGGCCTGTGACCTGACCCGTGGTACCGACCTGCTGTGTTGACCTGTACCTGTGACGCTGACCTGTGACACTAGCCTGTGATGCTAGCCTGTAACATTGATCTGACCTGTGATCTAACATGTGATACCGGCATGTGGTGACGCTGACCTGTGACGCTGACCAGTGACGCTGACCTGAAGCACTGACCTGAGACGCTTACATGTGACCTGACCTGTGGTGCTGGCCTGTGACACTGGCCTGTGTGGCACTGGCCGTTGCAGCGTCTACGGCACGAGAACCTGGTGAACTTGATTGAGGTGTTCCGGCGGCGGCGGCGACTCTGCCTGGTGCTGGAGTTTGTGGAGAGCACGGTGCTGGACTTGCTGGAGGCGAAGGAGGAGGGTGGCCTAGAGCCGGCAGCCGTCCGCAGCTACATCTTTCAGCTGCTGCGGGGCCTCGAGTTTTGCCACACTCAGAACGTGAGCGTTCGTTATGTAGGATGGGAGAAATGCTATATTTCTTAGGTCTCGTATGTTGGCGTGGGTGTAGCTAGATGCAATCCACTTTCTCGATCTCGATCTCTTTTGAGGCGTAGAACTTGCTTTGGTCGTGGTGCTAGGAAAGCCATGTGATTATGTGATCGGGTGAAATGCGGCCACAATGCAGTCAACTTTCCCGATGCGCTTGTATAAAACGCTTTACACAGCTTTCCACTGTTATTTTGATGTATGGTCGAAGCTGTTGGTGGTTGCTATTCGCTCCCAAATCGCTGCTTGTCTTCGCAGATCATTCATCGCGACATCAAGCCCGAAAACGTGCTCATCTCCAATCTCGGAGTGGTGAAACTATGCGATTTCGGCTTTGCCAGACCCCTAGCGGGCCCCGGAGAGAACTGCACTGACTATGTCGCCACCAGATGGTACCGGGCTCCGGAGCTGCTCGTCGGCGACACTCGATACGGAAGGTAAGCACGAGGGCGGGGCGCCCTGGCGTTGTGGAGTAAACTGGTCCTCATGAAGGTAAAGTGAACCTTTAACGTTCACTTTACGTCGGCCTTGCGCTAATGGCGAGCGACAGTCTCACCAAGCCATCAGCAAGCCATCACCGCCAGCGACGGCAGCGTGGCGCCAGGAGCGCTCGGACCGGTCGCCCGTGCTGTCGATCGGGAACAGCGTCTCGGCAGGTCGCCAGGTAACGGCCGCCGAGGTCATCAGAGCGTGACGACGCTGGTCACCTCTGACCCAGCCCGCGTGACCCCCGCGTCTCCCGCCGCCACCGCTCAATGGGGCGCGGCGCTCGGCGGTGCGCCACCGTCGGCATTTGTCCGCGCCTCACCGGGCGCGAGTCACGAGCCGGGGTCTGCGGGGCCGCCCCGGGAAGGCCGGCGGCTCGACTGGACGCATACCCACGGCCGGAGCGGATCCGCGCCGCTCCACTGCCCGCGTGGTGTCCAGGGGCTTCCGAGGTATGTGGAGCACCCGAGCTGGGCGAGGGGTGGTCCCTCGAGCGGATCGATGGCGGAGAATGGAGCTCGGGGCGGTGTCGGGCTCCTTCCCAGATGTCCGTCGCGTTGTGTTTGCTGCCCCGCGTGTGTTGGCAGCGCAGTTTCGCAGCGCGTCTGGGAGACCGGGAACTGGGGTTCGATTCCCCGCCGTGCCCGCCCTGCCTGCCAGAATGAGCGGTGCCGACGCCGCAAAGCCCCGGTTACCGCGTGTGTCGTGAGGCGGCAGTGGCTGACCTCGCCCCTCCGCGCAGGGAGGTGGACGTGTGGGCGGCCGGCTGCCTGTTCGCCGAGATGCTGACGGGGGACCCGCTGTTTCCGGGCGACAGCGACATTGACCAGCTGTACCTCATCATACAGACCACCGGTGAGAGCGGCTGACACCGCGGTCAGGGGGAGCTCCGTACTCCTCTGTGCTTCATTATGCAGACCACCGGTGAGAGCGGCAGACACAATGGTCTCTACGAGGAAGCCCCGCAACCCTTCGTATCTCATCACATAGACCACCGGCGAGAGCGGCGGACACAGCGGTCAGGTGGAGCTCCGCAGCCCTCGCCTTACTCCCTGCCCCTCCCCCGCTGCCTTCGTGCAATGTCCGTGCCCCGCCTATGTCATGCACCAATAGCGTTGGTGATGCTGCAAGCCCTGAGAACAAAACAGGAGCAAAACGCTCACGCGTTCGTCAAAAATCTGACATTCACTGAGTCACTGAACGCCAGGAGCATTCCCCTTGCATGCCCGTTCCTCTATCTACCTCTTCGGTAGGGGCATCACATGTATTATGAATAGGTATTTGGACAGATCACCTGCCACGGCGATGATTGCATCAGCTGCGGCCTTTATAACTGACTGCGTTTGTACCATCGAGGCATGCTTGCGCAGGCGTTATGCAGTGATCCAGTGACGTAAGACATTCCAGCTCTAAGCAATGGTCGTCCGAAACGTGGGCCGTTTCACTCCGCCGCGTCGCTGTCGCGAACCCAGCTCATGGCAGTGGTGGTCGCCATGGCAACAGTTACCGTCGCACGGCGGTGTGATCCTAGGCCCGGTATGTCGGGTCATGCGAGGTCACGCATGGCCCCGGGCGACGCCGGTTTGGTCACGTGATTGACTAATCGGCGAGACGGCAGTGTTTTTGTCGAACGCGGCATCGCGGCCGGCGAGCGGTCACCAATAACGTATCGGCCGGGTCCGCCCGCCTGGCAGTAATTGGGTGTTGGTCCTGCAATCCGGTGTTTGGCGGCAGCCCATAGGCAATCGATAACCGAGGAATGGAGCGGCACGCACTGCGTCCGGTCAGGCGTGACACGCAGGGCTCGTGCGCGCAAGAGGGGTCGGCTAGGTCGCTGACGCTCCCGAGAACTTCAGAAAGACTCTCGGACAACTTCTGATGGGTACTTCCATGAGTAGCAACTGTGAAGTACATTAAAAAGCTTTTTGAGGGCTGATAACACGCAATGTGGTGTTTGAATTCCGAACGGCAACACTGGTACACACCGGTGTACACTGGTATACACTGGCTTTAATTAACACTGATACCGGTATGCACTGGTAACACCGAACATTGAATGGAGTGTTCCAAATTTTGATGGGGCTTTGAACTGAGATAGCCATCTTGGCGATCATTCGGTGCTGCTCACAGTACTGCTCTTCTTAGGACTTAAGTCCATACAGTTTTTGAGCTTCACGCCCGCGAAAATGTACATACTTTTTTGGGGAGACTACGTCAAGACTACTCAGGCATTCATAACACTAATAATCACGTCGTTCAAATCCTGCCTTTCCATTAGCCATGTGGCGATCAAGGCCAAGAAAAAACGAGTGTCGTGTGGTTCATATCTGGCGTTCGTGAGCACGATTTCCAAATATAACGGCCGTCACCTGGCTCTTAATCAATGTCGTGCGAGGTACGATGACGTAATCAAACAAGGACGTATTCATGAGCATGTTAACTAAACAGAGAAATTGTGTTGCCTTCAGCAGTCTTTTCCACTTATAGTACACCAATGGTCATAGTGAGCTTATTTCATCATATCCGATGTTTGCGTTAATGTCCTCAAATCTGCAACATTGCCTTTAGCATTGGTATGCTCTGGGCCTGGTTAACACTGATGCTGGTAAAACTAGTAACACCGGACGTTAACACTGACACAGTTACGGAGCTAACAAGAGGCCTTTGAGGTCGCTGCAGCTATCTCTTGTCAGGCTTGGCGGCGAATGAACGTCGTAAGTTTGCGCAGCATGACACAGGGATGAGTTTGCCATCGCGGCACGCGTGAATAGGATCAGAGGTGCGGCAGTGGTCACGCTGACTTGCCTTCCACTTGACGCAAGCCTGCGCTGTCGTCGCTGGAAGTGGCTTGCTCTGGCAGACTTTTCACGCCGCCTCTCCGGACATTGACCATTGACCAGCCGCGCATCGAGGGTAGGTTTTGGCGGCCGGCTGATCGGCCGACTCTGGTCTGGAGTGAGATCTCTTCACTCGTGCATTGTCCAGCGTCAAGCGGTCGGCCTGGCCGCTTCCATGCTCTTGAAATGAGCTGGAATGGGGATGGGGTAATCGGAGGTGACACCTCCCTTTTCTTCTCTCAACCCCCGCCCCCCCCCCCCCCCTCCTCAAATGCACACACAGCCGAGGTAACCTAGACATCGATTATTCTGCGCGACATGAGGCCCCCGCCGGTCCAGCGAGACCTGCGTGCGTCGCAGGGAGGTGCGTCGACCGTGGGCCGCAGCCGCGGCTCTGCTGTGGAAGGTGCTGTCGGTCGATGACCTACTGTCGGCGCCACGCGCTGCCCGGACGGCGTGGCGCGGGGGTGCTATGGACAGGGCGCCGACGACACGCGCTCCAGCAGCCGCACGCCGACAAACACAGCTCCCGCCTGGTGACGGCGCCGGCGCGGTGCTCTGGATATGTTTCGCATCCCAGCCGCCTCTGCAGGCGAACAAACACGTACATTCCAGCCGCCTCTGCAGGCGGACGAACACGTACATCCCAGCCGCCTCTGCAGGCGAACAAACACGTACAGCTGAACGGTCTCGAGCTGAACGTTTGAGGCCGCGGAGCCGGAGTCCAGGAGAGTCCAGGAGGAGAGTCCAGTTTGAGGCCGCGGAGCTGGAGTCCAGGAGAGTCCAGGAGGAGAGTCCAGTTTGAGGTCGCGGAGCTGGAGTCCAGGACTCAGGAGTGCAGTTTGAGACCGCTGAGCCGGAGTCCAGGGGTGCAGTTTGAGGCCGCGGAGCCGGAGTCCAGGAGTGCAGTTTGAGGCCGCGGGTCGGAGTCCAGGAGTGCAGTTTGAGGCCGCGAAGCCGGAGTCCAGGAGTGCAGTTCGAGGCCGCGGAGCCGGAGTCCAGGAGTGCTGTTTGAGGCCGTGGAGCTGAAGTCCAGGAGTGCAGTTTGGCTGTTACTGCCCCATCGATCTTTTAGAGGTCTAAAACGGAAGTTCCCATGCGATGACGTCATATCTCCTGGCAATGGACGGCCCTGTGGACTGAGTGACGCAATAGACGCAGTTCCGAGTCGCAGCTCTTCAAGCTTCATTAATGTGCTATGCCCTCATATGCGTGTTCAGCCTATTGAGCTGCTCCTACAGGCGCGCGATAAGAACTCTAGCATGGCGTTTGCATTGCCGGCTTTCATTGCCGGTAGCGTACTTCCTAGATCTGAATCGCTTCGAACCCAAACAGCAGGAAAAACGTCCATTGTATACTATACGGTTCTCATGCATCCCCGGCTTGAGCCGCACCCGAGCAAACATGCATCTGTGCGTTCAGTCCGCTGTGCCGGGGCCGGCTCGGGAGCACGTCTGTCTGTGCGTGGGAACGGGTGATGAGCGCGAGCGGCCGCGTGTGACGCTCCGAAGGGGCGCGCCGGCGGCAGAGGTGGCGCGCCGCGGCAGGGGCGGCCCGCCGGCCGGCGCGCCCCGGTGCCCTGCTTTGTTAGTCGGGCGGCACGGCCGGCGGCGCGCAGAACTCGCGGCCGAGCGCGCGCCACCCGAGCGTGGCGCACGTCGCCGGCGCGTCGCCTCCGCCGCCGCCGCGGCTAGCGGTGCGCGCCGCGTCACGCTGGCGGTCACGGCGGCGTCACGGGTCGCCCCAGCGTCGTGATTGGACCGTCACGCATGACGCGCGCGCGCCCCAATTAAAACACTTGTGTGCTCTGGGGTTGCATATAGTTGTGTCTTCTCGAGGAGGCGGCTGGGTCGCCTGTTCCCTCCGGCCGGAGCAATCGGCGCCTCTGCGGACCGACTGCGTCAGGTAATCCGTGACACAGGCGGTCTCTCAGCACCCAGTCGCCGCTCTGGTAGCAGCGCTTCGCCGCAGAGTTGGCACAGAGGTCACGGACAGGCGCCAACAGCGGCCGTTTGACACAGCACACAGCGGCCCGCATGACCGGAGGCCGGCCGGACCGGGAGCGGCCTGACCGGGCGGCGGTCAGGCCGGGTCTGCGGGGGAGGTGGGGGGGGGGGGGGTCCGTGACGCGGCCGCCGCCCCTGAGGCCGCCCCGGCCGGCCCGCTGGTCGCTCGCTGAGTCACCCGGCCAAAGCGAGGCAGCAGGCCGACGTCAGTCGCCCTCCGGCTCGGTCTCTGTGGCCCAATGGCATGCCGTGGGAGACGTTTGGAGGAACTTTGTCGCGTTGACACGAGCATGTCATGTTCAGTCTTTACCGTAGATTTGCTACAAGGGAACAACGTCGACTGACACAGAAAGTCACAGCTCGAAGGCACTCGTAATTCTATGCAAAGCATGCTGACTTGCAACTACTGAAAAAGAGGAGAGAAAAAATTTCAAAAGGCTTCATTCCGTTTCGGATAGCAATCCTTTGCTTGGCTACAGTCGCCCGACGAAAGATTGTGCCTAATGCGATAGGCGTGGGCATGATTTTGCGATAAACAGTTTTTTGTTTTGTTTTTAAGAATTTTATGTCTACGTGTTTCACACCTAATGAACTATGAACCAACGCAGAGAAGAGCTAAAAGTTATCAGAGCGAAAGATTAGGTGCTCGTAATCCTCCGCGAGGGACAGTTGTCTCACTTGAGTGGTAGGATTTTGTGCTACGGATTGGCTAGGATGATGAAAGGGCATGGTTATTTTTCTCCCAGGGGAAAGACTATAAGCCTGCAACCATACTTATGTGAGTGCAAATGTCGCATTGCAAACCAATATAACTAAACCGAAACCAAAAGACGATCCCACTGTGAAGTAGCATGCAAGCTGTGTTTCTATGTGTGTTCAAGGTGTTTGTGTTTCTATGGAAAAGCCCGCTACGTTTGCATCGCCTATAAAAGGCTAACTGCATGTAATTCACACGGCCGGTGGCCGCGGCGTTATCAAAGCCCTTCACGATGAAATGTTGCAGAGCTCCGAGCTCGTAAGGCTATTTAAACCGTAAGCGTGCCACCTAACAAAATCGATTAAGATGGGGCTATGCCTGCTTCAATGACTGTTACAAAGGTGTTGCAAAACGCAAATATTCTAGGCCATTCTGGCCGCAGTGAACTTGGCTGCGCGTCTGTTTACATAGCGTGGGGTGAGCTCTCGGTCCAGGCCGGTGCCGACTGCACCTAAAATTGTGTCTCGATCCGGGCCGGTGCCGACTGCACCCAAGATTGTGTCTCGATCCGGGCCGGTGCCGACTGCACCTAAGATTGTGTCTCGATCCGGGCCGGTGCCGACTGCACCTGAGATTGTGTCTCGATCCGGGCCGGTGCCGACTGCACCTGAGATTGTGTTGCGAGGTGGCGCCACTGTCCCCTTGCCAGCCCATTACAGGCGCCGCTGCGGGTCGGCCGGTTCGGAGGCCGTATGGTGAGCTGCAGGTGCTCCATTCGCACACACCGCGCTGCCAGTCCCGGCTCTTTATCTGCTCTGATTGCCGGGAGGAGACAGAAGTGCTGTAAGGAAGCGCTCCGGTAACGGGAACGGTGGCGATGTGGGCTGGAGCCACATGACTCGCTGCACACAACGAGCCACGCTTTGGCCGGCGGTTGTGGACGGTTTCCTCTCTAAACGACGCTGAGATGCACTAGTGAATTCCAGTCGTTACATTGGCCTACAAGGTGCACTTGGATTCACGTCTTCATTTACTCTGGTTGTTGAGATCTGACACCAATCCTGGACTGCGCCCCGAACAGGTTGGACCCAGGATTGACGCCCGACAGCACGTGCTGGTGCGCACAAGGAGCCTCTCGCCACTGCCATTGCCAATAACAATGCCCCCCCCCCCCTCGGCAGCATTGATCAGACCCGGATCAAGCCGGTGCCGGTCCGGTCGTCGAGACTAGACTATGTTCCATTCAGTCTGTGTTATTCACGCAAGCTGAAATTTTATCGGTTCGATATCAATCAAACGAAAAAGGAAATTGATGTTGATGCTGGGATGTTGCGGAGACGGCCTACCTAATCAAACAGTTCACGTGCAAATGTGTGACATTTAGAAAAGCTCGACTTTCAACTAATTTCTCTTATCGGTGCTCCACCTAGCACAAACCCGTTTTGAGTGACTGCAAGTATTTAGAATATATTTTAGTTTTAAGAGCATGACGGCCGGGCCGGGTCGGGCTGGTATCTCCAAGGGATGAATTTATCTTAGTTCAAGTACGACTCACTCGGTCTGCGGCCTCGCTTATAACAACGGGCATTTTCAATGTGCGCAACAGGACAATATTCAGCTCCATATGGAACAGAGCTCCTTTTATAGCTTTAGCACCTAACATCAGAAAATATCCGTGGCGACGGCAGCTTCCCCCTGCTGTCGGTGGCACGGCGTGATCTCCACTAGTCTCCGACAGATATACAGACAGAGAGACACGACTCCTGACCCCTGACCCCGGCCGCTCACGGGCTGGTCCGCCGCTCTCCTGGCCACTGGGAGGGTATAGCAGGGGACGCCCGGTCCCACCCTTGCGGCATCTTCTGAGCGTACGTCCTCGCTGCAGTGTGTCCCTCCGTCTGTGTCTGCTGGGCTGCAGTGTGTCCCTCCGTCTGTGTCTGCTGGGCTGCAGTGTGTCCCTCCGTCTGTGTCTGCTGGGCTGCAGTGTGTCCCTCCGTCTGTGTCTGCTGGGCTGCAGTGTGTTCCTCCGTCTATGTCTGCTGTGCTGCAGTGTGTCCCTCCGTCTGTGTCTGCTGGGCTGCAGTGTGTCCCTCCGTCTGTGCCTGCCGTTTGTTGGCAGTGGCCCATGTTGCCCGATCTGCCGCACGCTGCAGTGAGTGTGACAGTACACCCGCCTGCGCTGCAGTGAGTGTGACAGTACACCCGCCTGCGCTGCAGTGAGTGTGACAGCACACCCGCCTGCGCTGCAGTGGGTGTGACGGTACACCCGCCTGTGCTGCAGTGAGTGTGACAGTACACCCGCCTGCGCTGCAGTGGGTGTGACAGTACACCCGCCTGCGCTGCAGTGAGTGTAACAGTACACCCGCCTGCGCTGCAGTGGGTGTGACAGTACACCCGCCTGCGCTGCAGTGAGTGTGACAGTACACCCGCCTGCGTTGCAGTGGGTGTGACAGTACACCCGCCTGCGCTGCAGTGAGTGTGACAGTACACCCGCCTGCGCTGCAGGTCCGCTCTCAAAGGCGCACGTGGAGCTGATGAGCAACAACCCGGCGCTGTCGGGCCTCCGACTCAACACGGTGCTGCGGCCCAGGTTCAGCGCCAAGTTCCCACAGTGGCCGGAGCTGCAGGTGCACTTCCTGCAGGTGCGTCTGCCGGCTCCGGTGGCCATGTGCTGCTGTGTGGCCGGCCGGTCTGGTGTCGGCCGGTTGGCCATGTGCTGCTGTGTGGCCGGCCGGTCTGGTGTCGGCCGGTTGGCCAAGTGCTGCTGTGTGGACAGCCGATCTGGTGTCGGCCGGTTGGCCATGTGCTGCTGTGTGGACAGCCGATCTGGTGTCGGCCGGTTGGCCATGTGTTGCTGTGTGGCCAGCCGGTCTAGTGTCGGCCGGTTGGCCATGTGCTGCTGTGTGGCCGGCCGGTCTGGTGTCGGCCGGTTGGCCAAGTGCTGCTGTGTGGACAGCCGATCTGGTGTCGGCTGGTTGGCCATGTGCTGCTGTGTGGACAGCCGATCTGGTGTCGGCCGGTTGGCCATGTGTTGCTGTGTGGCCAGCCGGTCTAGTGTCGGCCGGTTGGCCATGTGCTGCTGTGTGGCCAGCCGGTCTGGTGTTGGTTAGTTGGCCATGTGCTGCTGTGTGGACAGCCGGTCTAGTGTCGGTCGGTTGGCCATGTGCTGCTGTGTGGACAGCCGGTCTGGTGTCGGCCGGTTGGCCATGTGCTGCTGTGTGGACAGCCGGTCTGGTGTTGGCCGGTTGGCCATGTGCTGCTGTGTGGACAGCCGGTCTGGTGTTGGCCGGTTGGCCATGTGCTGCTGTGTGGACAGCCGGTCTGGTGTTGGCCGGTTGGCCATGTGCTGCTCCACTGATTACTAGCGGAGGCTCATAGACAGGCGGAGTCAGGCTCAGTGGGTGTTTAAGTGGAGCCCGAGGACTCTGCCGGTGCCTCTGCTGCCGGCGGATGCAACACTGGTTCCAACAACATCTACGACAGCGGCTGTTACACTGGCTGTAACATCAGCCGTAACATCGGCTGCAACAACAGCTGGGGCAGCAACTGCAGCAACAACTGTAGCAGTGGCTGTGACAGTGACTGTATCAGCGACTGTAGCAGCAACTGCAGCAACGGCTGTAACAGTGGCTGTTACAGCAGCTTTAGCAGTTGCTATAGCAGCAAATGTAACAATGGGTGCAACAGTAACTGTAGCAGTGGCTATAACAGCGTCTGCAATAGCAGCGTCTGCTGTAACGGCTGTAGCAGCTGATGCAACGGCGGATGTATCGGCGCATGTAACAGCAAAGCCTACGGCAACGGCTGTAGCAGCGGCTGTAGCAGCGGCTGTAGCAGCGGCTGTAACAGCGACTGTAACAGGCCTACAACAGTGTCAGCGGCCGCCCTGTCGCAGGACTGCCTGGAGATGGACCCTCAGCAGCGCCCCGGATGCCGGGAGCTGCTGCAGCACGACTTCTTCACGCACGACCAGTTCCCGCAGCGGCAGCTGCCCGAGATCAAGCGCAAAATCCAGCAGGTGAGCCCACCACGGCCGGGGATCCCCCGCCGCCAGGGGCGGACGATGCACACAGGGTCTCCTCAGGGGCGGGGGGGGGGGAGGCAAAACCATAACGAGAAAGTGATGGCAGTCTTCCATGGGAGGCATGAAAGGTAATGGAACTTTTCCGAAACCATGGTAAATATATGTATGGACTAAAGACATGATGACGCGTCGATGTCATCTCCGTGCCTCCTTTGATGTACCACTGCTATGCGCCACGTATTTGTTGATCAGTCTGCCGATGATAAGCCCCTGGCCGTTATAGCATGAACACATAGCATAAACCCCTGGCCGTTATAGCATGACTTGTATTAATTAACACGCGATCGGGTGGGGGTCAAATTGACCCCCGAATACTTTTTTCCGGAATGGTTTTTGAGCAGCCAGATTTGTCCTAGCTATAGGCAATTGAATACCGAATCATTTAGCATCACAAATTTAGATGTACCTTGTAAGGTCGCTGACCTATAGTAGGTCAAAATCAGGCCATGGTTTCAGCGAAGGCAGTTTGTTGGGAACAGCTCAATCTATCCAACAACGGAGTGTTAGACGAAGCCGTACGTTTCTGATATATTTTCTGAGACAACACAACAATTGAACGAACAAATTGCATTGACCTAAGGTCAGTTATGAAGGTCAGGCCAAGGTCAAAATCAACCTGTTTTAAGACTCTAGGCCTTGCTGCATGGGGTGGTTTCTTGTGCTTATTTCGAATTTGTTGATAACAGGAACCGTATTATATACCTTCCATAGACTTTTAAAAGGTCGGAATAGGTCACTGGCCTAGAATGACCCAGGTCGACATTTTTCTTTCAAGAACATGCCGCCTGGCATAATCTGTATCGCTTTTCCGAATGCAAAACTCAACGCGGTCCTGTATGATTTTGGTCACCATGGCCTTCAAAAGGACAAGCGGGGTCACGTACCTCAGATGAGCATGTGATCTTTTGCATAGAACAGTTATCTAGGTTTCAGAGGCCCTGTGGAGACCAACCTGGAATTTGAAAATGTTTGACCTTTTTTGACCCAAAGGTCATGACCTAGGAACTTCCAAACTTTGACCTGAGTGAGGTCTTGTACAGGTTAACAAGTCCTGTGAATTTGGTGTCTCCAGTTTTCGTAGTTCCTGAGATCTCAGGGGAGGCCAATTTGCTCCCCACCCGAGCGAAGGGTATCCAACCGGCCATCCGGGCGCGTGTTAATGACGGCCAGGTGTCAGTGAAGCGAAGTGCAACGTCTTGCTTTCTTGATACAATGCAATATTTCAAGATGTTTTCTGATTGACGCGACTGTATAGACACGGAACATCCAACGTTGGCCCACCTCATTTATTACTTTGCTTCAGGAATTCACGTCCAATTCACTGGGAAGAAAATTTGGCAGCCTCACAATAGGCAAGAAACGAAAAAGCAACAAGCTGGCATTGAATAAAGAAAACCAAGAGAACCAAGACGGCAAAAACGAGAAAGACAGCCGCGACCCGCTGAAGACCTCGCCATACAGGTAACCAAACTCAGAGGCGATAATTCGGCTCTGATATAACTCTGATAATTCGAGCGAAAGCTCCCCAGCTCTGTCCCTCGACTGCTGCCGTCAGTGTGTGTCGCCCACGAGGAAGCCGTACACCTTTTCGAGCCGAATCTTTCGAACATTTTCCCGTGGTTCGCCGCGCAGGACAGCGCAGAACGTGGGTCTGACATGTGCCAGGCAAGTTCGCCGGCGGCCGGCTGAACTTGCGAACTTATTCCAGTGGGAAAAGGTAGCTGAATGCCGTCGTATTGTTTTAAAGAAGAATGTTGCCCCATTCAGTGTCAGTCGATACCAAATGTTTGGTAATCAATGTTCCGGCTACCACGACTAATACAGATTACATCAGCGCAGACAGAAGAGTGCAGCTTCGTCGTAATGGTATCTGGCATATCTGTCACACGTGGATCGCCGTATTTCCCTGGGACAATCCCCGCTACATTGAACAACTCAGCATAGTCCTAGCGCGTCCCTCCCTGCCGAGCAGTTCAGTGATGCTCCCATGGTAATAGATCAGACGGTAGTTGTCCGCCAGGGGTGATGGCGTTTTAGCTTTGACCCTCTTTTGTCGGCTCTGACCTTCTGTTGTGGGCCCTGAGCCTCTGCTATGGGCCCTGACACTCTGCTTTTGGCCCTGACCCTTTGCTGTTGGTCCTGACCCTCGGATGTGGCTCTGACCACTGCTGTGGGTCCTGATGCCGCACCGCTAGCTCCAACCCTGCGCAGTCCTCTGTGGTGAGAGCTGACGTCTGTGCCCTGGTCCGAGCTAGCTCCACTCGGCCCTTTTCCGCCTGACTCTGAGCGCCCCTCCCCCTGACTGAGCGCCTCTCCGCCTGACCCTGGACGCCTCTCCGTCTGACCATGAGCACCCCTCCGTCTGACCTTGAGCACCCCTCCGTCTGACCCTGAGCGCCTCTCCGCCTGACGCTGAGCGCCTCTTCCCCTGACGCTGAGCGCCTCTTCCCCTGACGCTGAGCGCCTCTGCGTCTGACGCTGAGCGCCTCTCCGCCTGACGCTGAGCGCCTCTTCCGCTGACGCTGAACGCCTCTCCGCCTGACGCTGAGCGCCTCTCCGCCTGACCCTCGGCGCCGTCGGTCGCAGGCAGAGCCAGGCCCGGATCTCGGTGGGCCGCCTGGTCGGCTCGCAGCGGCCAGAGCCGGCCGACAGCCGGCCGGAGCCGTCGACGGCCATCCCGCCGATCGCCGAGCCGCCGCCGCCGCCGCCGCCGCCGGCAGCACCCTCCCACGGCTGGGTCAAGGACACTCTCATCGGCTGGGGCGTGCCCGGTCTGGCCAGGTCAGCTGACCGCGCAGCTCCACCCAGCGATGTAATGTCCGGGTGTATGCTGTGCGCTCTGGTGCTCGGAACGGCATCGCCGAGCGCAACGGCGCTCAAACCGGCAGCCCGTTTGGAATCGGTTTTGAATCTGACCCACTTGGAATCAGCGCTCGGGTCGTCTTGTACGACAGCAGTGCACCTGGTGGTGACCCGACGCGGCGTCGGAGCTCCGGATGCTGACCTGCCCCCGCCCCCGACAGTGACCCGCTGACTGCCCTGCTGCACCGGTCCTCGGAGCGACCGCGACCTCTGGCGCCGGTGGCCGGCAGCCGCTCGCCGGCCGTTCTGCGCCGGGGCAGGGAGACGCCGGCCTGCTCCACCTGCCAGGAGGTCACAGCCCGGGGGCACGCCGCCCTCTCCGAGAAACTGTCGCCGCGGCTGGCGACCGTCGAGCGCGCGCTGCAGCAGCGGAGAACGTCCGAGGCCCGCGCCCGGCCCGGCCTCTCACTGCCCAACGTACCGGGCGCAGGTGAGCTGGACCGGGGCTGAGGTATCCCCGCCACCAGGAATGGATATACTCCGAGCAGGGAGGTGTACCGGGCAGGTGAGGTACTGGAGACTGTCGCACCCCGAGCAGGTGAGGTACTGGAGACTGTCGCACCCCGAGCAGGTGAGGTACTGGAGACTGTTGTACCTGGGGCAGGTGAGGTACTGGAGACTGTTGCACCCCGAGTAGGTGAGGTACCAGAAATTATTGTACCCCGGGCATGTAAGGTACCGCCAGATTCTCGCGTCAGCATTAGCGGACAGGAAGTAAAGAGCACGCTGTATTGGCACTTCATTAGTCCTCCCACGCCGTGGTGTGAACACTTCAGACAAGGTGCAACATGCAGAGCGAACAGCCGGCGGCAAGAAGTGCATCAGCGCAGTCAAAAGATAATGTCATATGGCACACAGACTGCAATGAATCAGGGCTCAACACAATACAGCTGTTGCTGTAGAGACTGATTGGTCAACAGACTCAGGGTATTGATTCTACAGCGTTGTGGGGATGCAACTTAGCAGCATGAGAATACCACCCGGTGCCATTTGTGTACCCGGGCGTCGATGGTTCAGACTGAACACCACTGCGGGTCGGACTCAGCACCACCGTAGGTACGCCAACTTCGGCCGGGCTTTGGGCTGTGGTCGGCCCGCTGGACACCGGTGCGGATGTAGGTCCGGTGGCGCTGACGCGGGCGGAGGCAGCACCAGCGTGGAGCGGCGGTCCTGCGGAGCGACCGCAGTGGTTCCTGTGGCGCTCCTGCACACGGTACCTCACCCCTGCGACCTGGTGACTATCCAACACGCAAGGGGCGTGGGGGCAAGGGGCATAGGGGCAAGGGGTCCGCCTGCAAGACGTCCGCCCGCCCGTCATCCACCTGCAAGAACTTTGTTACATATTAGCTTATTCGGCTTCTTACTTGAACACCACCAGCGGAGACGTTCCCGAACTCTAGCGCTATTCACCATGCAATCAGAAAGCAAATGAATCCGGCAGAAACTGCTGGCCTCTACCGTAGCATGATGCACCTTGCAAGAGTCCCGAGCGGGAGAGCCTGATCTCCATGACCGCCGATGGCTCCCTCCTCTGTACCCCATCCACAGTGTGTTTGTGAGGTCACGGTCTAGACTGCTCCCGCGATCTTAGGCACGGCGCCTCCAGGAAGCCCCCCTCCCCCTCCCCCGATTTGGGGATGCACGTGCGTGCGATTAGTGGACACCTCTCGGGGCCTCACGGTCGGGAGCTCCTGGAATGGACAGCGGTCAAGTTAAGGTCATCTGGGCGTCTAGGGTGTCTTGGTTTCAAGCATACGTTTCAGGTGAAAATCTTTTGCGTTTGTCTATTGCATTTTGTGTCAATTTGCCACATGTGTAATTTACAGACCTCTTCTGCATAATCGTCCTCAACCAAGCAGCGGGTTTTTCCATGCGTGGGGCATCTGTGCATATACTACCCATTCCACCAATTTACCCGTAAACAAAATTACTCGATTTTTTACGCCACGGGTGTCGATTTGTATTCTTTTGTGAGGGCCCTGGCCCCCCAATATTGGGTTGCCGCCCCCCCCCCCCTCCAATGTTGGCTTGGCGCCACCAATGCTTTCGGTTGGAACAGTACAGAAAACGTGGGTAAAAGATAATTATAACACAAAGATTACCTTCTTTGATTTTTCTGCGTTGTGGCGTCTCGTATAGCAAAGTCATGGCTGCTCTCACCACCAGATACAAATCGTAACAGCCGAACGGATAAACGATGCAAAAAACTTCACGTACCTAGCGCCATAAGACAGGCAATGGTCTGTGAGGTTAAAGTGAAGGGCTCTGGAATATTGGAATGACCTAAGTCCTTCATCGGCTCGCCCTGTCCCCGCCCCTACAAACAAAACACGTGCCGCCTCCCATGACTATGGCCATGGCCATCGGCGCCTCAAGGTGGCCTCAATGAAGGCCCCGCCTTCACTTGCCGATCAGAAGAGACGCGTGCGTTCAGTGCCTGCTAACTGGAGCCAACCCTGCGTGACTTCGATACTGGTTACATGAAAGGTCTTTCATAAATCATGCAAAGATGAAATGCATGTTTATATATATATATATATATATATATATATATGTACATATATACATATATATATATATATATATATATATATATATATGTATATATGTATAAATATTGCGTTCAATCAGAACAAAATGGTCTAAATCCCGTGAGAAAAATGGGGGGTAGGTTGCCGGGCCTTCGGTTCGCCCCCTACCCCAATAGTTTAAAGAAATTGACACCCCTGGTTGATGCTCATCACGCGACAGCAGACGCCCACAGCCCATCCGTGTTGTTCCAGCCGCCAACTCGTCGAAGCAGTCCGGTCGCACCCCCAAATCGTCCTTCACGCCTTCGTTAACGCACGTGTCCACCCTGGACCTGCTGCGGACTCCCGTGAGTAGGGCCACGCGCGGCCGGCCGTGGTGGCACTGATGCTTGAAACGCCAGCGCGGACGTCACGCACGTGCACCTGTGGCACCTCCACTGCGGAGACGCGGCAGCGTCGTTTGCCGGTCGGCCGGTGGGCCGAGACGCCGCCCTGGGCGCGGAGGGTCAGGGGTCAGGCCCTGCGGCGCCGCGTGCAGGCCCGGCCGGGGCCGCGTGCGGCACCACGGGCGGGCGCGGGCAACTGGGGCGGAGGCGTGCGCGCGGCACGGATGCGGCCGCGGCGGGCGGTCGGGCGGCGCGGCAGCCGGTGAGTACGCCGCACGCCCGGCCCGAGTAACCCACATTGCTGTCTCGGTGAGGTGGCGGCGAACGAAATGAGACGAAAATCTTCCGACTCGGAACACATGGCGTGCATGGAGGATGGTCTAGAGCGCATGCGCCGCACGAAACACCGACCGCTGCTTGATGTTGACACAAATCCTGCGTTTTCTCATGTTATGTTATCAAAAAAGCATGTTTGATTTTCTCTTCAGATGTGGCTGAACCGTTCATCATCCATGCGTTGGTCCATATTCGTTTTGGCACTTCGTTATTTTCTTGTGTGTTGGCATGTGAAGCAATTATGTAAACAAATAAAGCCCGACGAGATGCGCACCCTAGTAAGCCTGCATTTGGTGTTTTTGGTATGTATGGTATTGCAGTCACCGCACCGTGTCTTCCACTAAAATTGACATGAATATAGAATACAAAAGAGACATGTGCTTTTGAGAGCAGATTAATGGACACTGCTTGGGAGCAGATGCAGATACGTGCATGCGTCCCATACGCAATGTGGGTAAACATGAATGGGGTGTGGCCACGGTGTTGGCCACATCACGGCAAATGGTTTGGCCATTGACGCGTGCCCACGTTACATTGCTTGCTGACTTCTAATGATCGGACGCCCGCTTTGCTCGGCGTGACTCGCGAATGTCATCTTACTTAGAAATAAAATGAACTTAAGTGAAATACAATTCTATTTCACTACAGCGTGAAATGTCGCCAAAAATCCTTTCATTCTTTCCAACAGACATGCATGCACCAGAGGTTGAATCAAGTTTGCGAAATTCAAAATTCATATTATTTCAAGCTGGTTTAACGGTGGTGCGTTTTGGCCGACAAAAGGGACGTCATTCAGTTCAAAAGCCATGTAGGTACATGGGCAGAGTGCATCCGCTTTATATGGTGCCAGAGCTGGAAACCCATGTCGTCGGATCTTCCTAATCAAAGAATGGGGATGCATTAAGCGATTTCATTGTCTTTTTTAGGTACTTTTGTCTGTAATTAAGATCTATATGTATATATATATATATATGTATATATATTAACATATGTAGGCAGCAAATTGTCCTATATACAAGTGTTCTCGTAGTCCCTGGCGTAGGTGCAGTGGCGTAGGGGCAGTGACGTAGGTCCTATACAGTGCAGAAAAAAACTTATTAAATGCACGCCAAGGACTTCAAAACACCTACGTATATATATATATATATATATATATATATATATATATATATATATATATATATATATATATATATATATATATATATATATATATATATATATATATATTGGCCAGATATTTTTGCTTATATGTAGATCCTAAAGGAGAACGGCATCTCAAGTTTTACATAAATTCCGGTCGAGTGTTGGTCTTTCCAGCATTACTTTTTACGTCGTCTCGTAACTTAAAAAGTAGCTCCCAATGGATTTTTGTCATGTTCTGATGTATTCTCAGTTTAACGTTTCGTACACATCCTGTATCTATTCTCAAAAGAAAACCTCCTCATCTCATCTAGGCAACTGACATCTCAAAATTCAGAACATGAAACGCGAGCATGCAAGCAATAAAAAAATTGGATTTTACCCACCACCACTTTGGTCTGGCGACCAAGCAGATTATAGCCTGGTGGTACAGAAGGCGTCATGGCCATCATACACTGTAATCTACACAATGAACATGCGAAATCATGACACCGCCTGTGTAATTTAAAATCTCAAATTTGATACCTTTGTTTGCTAAGCACAAATGCGAGGTTATGAATGAACGAAGCTTACAGAATGTTGAGTTCCCGCGTCGTTTCCAGATTTTAAACTTTCGATGCCTTCGGTGTTCCAAAAAAATGTTTTCGGTGAGTCCAAAAACGTAACAGAGGTAGACAGGAATTTGCTGAGATTGGCGATATCTTACAAGAAAAACGAAAAACTAGTGATCTTATTACAAAAACATCCCAACCGGGACAACGATGTTCAAACTCCGTCCGTACCCTTCATGGTGTAACAACATCTTTGTCGTCTCACCTCACAATGCACCTTGCAGAATGAGCACCAAGAGGCCATTTGCAATGGGACAACAAAACTCATCTCACACACCAAATGCTCAAACAAAACACCTAAGCTTCAACATCTGCAAACAACCCAAGAAAACTGAACACTGTAGAGGCTTCGTGCATTCATGACCACGCAATAGTGCTAAACATGTAACTTTTTCCGGACGTTTCACATTTAACAATGTGGAAGCAAGCATCAGATATGACGAAACAAGCCGACTCATGACTATTGGTGCACTTTTGAGTGAAAAAGACTGTTTTAGACAACAAGATGTATCTGTTAAGTAACTATTTTCTTCAATGCGTCATTCTTACATTGCGTTGTGGAATGTCGGTACAACGTTGAGGCACTGCCAAATTAGCCTTGCGAAATTGCGACTTACTTGTAGTCCTTCAAACTCGTCGAGAGATGGCAGCACGGCCCGGAAGTTTTCTCTGAGCTAAATATTCTTTTATGCTCGTATTTTGACCCTTTCTCGTGGTGTTTATTATGTATATACCCGTTAATTTGAGATGTTGACTTGTATTCACATACTCGTGCATGGGGTTATTCTTAAGTGACTCGATTACAAGTATCATTTCCGTAATAATCAGCAAGCGAAAAAGCCATCTCCAACTTGTTATGCCCTGTAGCACAAAATTGCTTCGTGATTGAGGCTTGCACAATTTCCTTACCGCTGTTTTAGACCCAGTTGACGTCCACGATATTTAGAAAACACACTCACGGACATTGCCACGGGTCACGGGTCTTGAACATCGCCTTACATGCGGGGTGGCAGAATTTGAATGACGTTACCACGGCGTCACGCGCGCCTGAACGACCTTTCAGAAGTCTGCACGAAACCGTCTGCGCATATTTGCGGGCGTGTAGCTTAGAAACTAGAGGGTGTGGTGCCTTAAGCAGGGCAGAGCTGTGAGCTGCATTGAATGATCTTCAAGACGGCTATTTCAACTTGAAGTATAATTCAAATGCGGAACAATCATTCAAATGTTTATGGTAGAGTGGGTGGTGATTAGGGCCACGGGCGATTGAGCGATGAGCACATGTCAGATGAAGAATGAAAGGCACACAAACAACGCAGAATAAAGGATGTAACTATTAATAGGGTGCGAGTAGTGATGTTGGAAAGTGTTCTTGTTTTTTTTTTATTTTTACGTGATTCGACAATTTGCCATCACAATGCTGACACCTTTCACCTTCTCTCAAACCCAAGCCCTCTTCTGTCACATGTCTTGACCTCTGCCATCTGATGGGCGCGCAAGCCCAAAGCTCTTGCAGGGTTAAGCATGTGGAGGGCTTCACTGCTCGTGGCTTGAAGCTCAAGCGGTGATGTCACAGTCACAGCTCGCCAGGATAAGGCGCAAGCACTTACTGGCAACATATTTGTCTGCAGTGGGGTGTTGTTAAACAACTAGCGGCTCTCATCGGGAAAATTCTGTGCCTTTGCAGTCTGTGCTTTTGCGCAGTCAAAATTCCATTTATTGTGGGGATGAGAGACGGAAAACCTAGGTGAAAACTCATAAGAAAGCCAAATAAGATGGTGCACTCGTTATGTTCGGATCCGTGTGCTCAACAGCGTTACTGGTGTTAAATAAAATCGGAGGAAGTGCCCCTCCCCCCCCCCCCCCCTCTTCCTCTTATCTTGCCTCTGGCGGAGCCCAACATGGAAGACCAAAAGCTTCAGTGACGTCACAGTGGTATAAGAACAAGTCAAAAAGCTAATAAAACCGCCATAACAACAAATGGCATTGAAGAGGGATTCGCAGAAGTGAGTAACATAAGAACTGGTACGAACAAAGTGGTTGCCATACCACAACCCAGAAGCCACACTTAACTTTGCGATGCGGCCCAGGTGAATCCTTAGCTTGCGGAAAAGGCTGGGGTGAATATTTAGCGTGGTGATGCGGCTTGGGTGAAAACCTAGCTTGATGATGCAGCTCAGGCGGAACCTAAGCCTAGTGACGCGGTTTGGGTGAATACCTGGCTTGACAATACAGCTTGGGTGGAATCTAAGTTCAGTGATGCGGCTTGGGTGAATGCCTAACTTGATGATGCGACTCAGGTGGAGCCTAAGCTTAGTGATACGGTTTGGGTGAATACCTAGCTTGATAATGCGGGTCATACGGAACCTAAGCTCAGTGATGCGGCTCGGGTGAATACCTAGCTTGATAATGCGGCTCATGCGGAACCTAAGTTCAGTGATGCGGCTCGGGTGAATACCTAGCTTGATAATGCGACTCAGGTACAACCTAAGCTTAGTGATGCGGTTTGAGTGAATACCTAGCTTGATAATGCGGCTCATGCGGAACCTAACCTTAGTGATGCGGTTTGGGTGAATACCTAGCTTGATAATGCGACTCATGCGGAACCTAACCTTAGTGATGCGGTTTGGATGAACACCTAGCTTGATAATGCGGCTCATGCGGAACCTAACCTAAGTGATGTGGTTTGGGTGAATACCTAGCTTGATAATGCGACTCAGGTGCAACCTAACCTTAGTGATGTGGTTTGGGTGAATGTCTAGCTTGATAATGCAGCTCATGCGGAGCCCAAACTTAGTGATGCGGCTCGGGTGAATCGCAGCGGATCGTCGCGGCGTGAATCGTAGTCAGAGTTTACAAACGAGCGGTGCTGACGCTCAGGTCGGTTCGTTTGGGGACGCTATGCCCGTCGGTGGCGGCGGAGCGGAACGCGTGTGATCCATCGCCCAGCGCTGCTGCGTCAGCGCCGGAGACCAGGCGCCGACCGGACCGGCCCGTCTGCCCCGGACCGCTGCCGTGACGGCTGTCAGGTGACGTCACGACGGTCAGGCGACGTCACCAAGTTTGCCAGACAGGGCCGGGCGTGTTTCCGGTGACGTCTGGTGGTGTTTGCCCCGGGTCGTCTGTGTTGTGCGGTGTGTGTGGCGAGCGGGCGGCGATCTGCCGGCTGCTGCTCGGGTGCGGTCCCGGGTCGTCCGGGTTGTGCGGTGTGTGTGGCAGAGCGGGCGGCGTTCTGCCGGCTGCTGCTCGGGTGCGGTCCCGGGTCGTCTGGGTTGTGCGGTGTGTGTGGCAGAGCGGGCGGCGATCTGCCGGCTACCGCTGGGGTGCGGTCCCGGGTCGTCTGCGTTGTGCGGTGTGTGTGGCAGAGCGGGCGGCGATCTGCCGGCTACCGCTGGGGTGCGGTCCCGGGTCGTTTGTGTTGTGCAGACCATCTGCTGGCTGCTGCTGGGGCGCGGTCCCGGGTCGCCTGTGTTGTGCGGGCCATCTGCCGGCTGCTGCCCGGGCGCGGTCCCGGAGGCCGGCGGCCCGTTTACTGTCACTGCACTGTCCACTGCCCTCTGTCGTCTGTTGTCGACTGCTGACCGCGCTCCGCTGTTGCAGAGCTGCAGTCCCAGTCCGCCGCCGCCCAACCTGCCGCAAGTCTGAGGTTAGCTCACTTTGGTCGGCGGCTCGCAGTCGGCGACAGCCTCGACCCGTCCGTCGCCGTCTGTCGCCTTCAGGAACACACTGAACAGGGGTCGGCGCAGGTCCCTCGACGACGAGCGGCGGCGGAAGCCGTGGTTTTGTGCGCTATATATACATATTTTGATGTGCTTTCAGTGTCCCACGGTTGTGCGATGAGTCAGCACCACATGGCGCGGAGCCATGCCATGCTGGTGTTGGAAAATACACAGCGGCAGTTTCCTGCGCATTGAGATGTGCGCTGCGAATGACGCCGGCAGCTGGTTGCGAATGCGCAGCATGCCCTCAGGCACGTTATGGGCAACGGAGACGGAGACGACGGTCCGCAGACGCACGGCTAGCAGAACGGGAGGCTCCATGACAGCCAAACGCTCCGCACAGGGCTGTCTCCGTCCAGGTGTTGCGAGGTGTGCACCAAGGCTGCATCGTCCAGGTGTTGTATGCTTTTGCAAAGCAACCATCGCTGGCTGATTTGCAAAAAGAAGCGGATGTGGAAAGTGCAAGCGACGGATGCAAAGGCCTCAAAGAACTTGCTCCGTCCTCATAGCACTAGTCGCAAGTTCTCAAGCGGGGAGAGAGTCCCTGCGCGTTTTAAATTCGCGACATTCAGCTTCGTATCGTTTAAATGATATGCCGTGCTATGCACATACCGGTACCGACGCCGGCCGCCAGGGGCGAGAGCCCCACAGTCTCCTTTGACGCCAGCTGGAGGGCAGGTAACGCCATCTATTCGCTGGAGACGCCATCATCAGCGCCACCTGTCGCGCGCCGTCGGCCTGGCGGCGGACCGACCGTTGGTCTAACTTGGCGTCCGGTTTGGCCGGGTTGGGGAAACACTCGCCAACGGCCATAACATAACTAGAAAATACAGCAACAGAAAATTAATGACGCCTCAAACTCCTGAACTCTTTACAACCTGGTAAACACGAACGTACTGTTACGTTTTTTTTTAATTGTTCAAAACAACACAAAGCGACAGTAAATTGTATATGAGCCTCGCATGCAGCTTCAAAGGCTTTTCAGCTGAATTAAACTAATGCAACAGTTTTTCTTTGGGAAAGCGATACTTTACAATTCAGTCTGGTATTACATCCTTAACGCATTCCGAAACAGAGTCCAGCGGGTCCATAGACAGGATGTTCTTCAAATGTGGTTGAGTGGAATTCAGTGGAGGGGTATGACGGTGATTTTACATTTTCTCTCACGCGCCATCTATGGTAAAAACAGGCAAAAGTGTGGACCAAAGGAAGGAGGTTGCTTCCCTAGGCTGCACCTCAGTCGGTAGTAAAAGAAAGTGCTATATTCCATCCCTAAAAAGCCGTTGTCGTGCCTGAACCGACATGAGCCCGGATCTAAAGCCGAGATTCTGCCCGCTGAAGTCCGCAGCATTCCTGCTGAAGTCTGCAGAAGTACTAGCTGAGGTCTGCAGGATTACTGGCTGAAGTCTGTAGACGTACCAGCTGAAGTCGGCAAAAATATTAGCTAAAGTGGGCAGTGGTACAAGCTGAAGTCTGCTGAAGCATTGGCTGAGTGCAGAAGTGTTATCTGAAGTCTGCAAAACCATCAGCAGATTCTGCGGTCCTCAAGCGCTGTTGACTACGCTTTTAAACTTTCTTCACTCGCGCTTTGCGGGTCTTCGGGATTAAAAATGGCTTCTCAGTCCGCAATGGTTAAAGACTGAAGAAGCAGCAGCAGATTTACAACCAGTCCGCAAGGCGCGGGCGGGCTTGGTCAGTAGTAGTAGCTACACAGTGACTCGGGTGATTATCATGCGTGGCATTAGGAGTAAATGATTTATCGCCCACCACCATAGGGGCCGTGATTCCTTCACATACGTCCCTGCTGAAAAGCTCCGGCAATCTCCACGTCTCTCCATGTCTCAATATATTTGTGATCAGGGAGCGGTACCGTAACATTTCAGAACAAAACCGTGTGCACATGGCACAGCTAAGGGAAGCGCAAGAGCCACCTCTGCGAATTGGTAACCGTGTCCTCTGTCTCTGCGTTGCCCATAAAGCTTTCTAATTCGTAAATATTGCCAATGTACTCTTTATGCCCACAGTCTACTGAAAACCTGGGTGCCATCGCACAATATACCGGAGTGTATCATCAATACAAGTTCTGGGAGTGGGCCGTGTTGAGCCCCTCCCCGTCCTCCCTTTATGAGGGCGAGGGCGAAATGAATTCCGATGAAAATTTGTCTATCTATTAGTGCGCTACTTAGAGCTACAACGGATAGACATGTACTTGGAGACCTCACTATCCTTTCGGTGAGGAAAATATAAACTTATCAAGCAAAATGAAGCAAAAGTTTGGTTGATGAAAAGCTGTGGACATGAGTACTCTTCCCATCAATATTATTTTAAAACACATGCGTGTAGGTCCAAGCTGCTTCATAGTTCTCCGACACATTCAAAAAGTCTGACATGTTTTGTTAGTCATAACTGTATCGACATCATTAGCACACTACACGTGGAAGACATACAGTGGAGACTGCTGGTAGTTGGCGGGTGCCTAATCGCTGGTTACGATTACAATGGTCCAGTGATTGTCCTGGTGTTTTCTGCTAAATATCCCGGTCTTGACGCTGCGCTGACCTACCCGGTGTACCGCTCGGTGACGAAGCAGATGGTGCGCCGCTGACCTACCCGGTGTGCCGCTCGGTGACGAAGCAGGTGGTGCGCCGCTGACCTACCCGGTGTGCCGCTCGGTGACGAAGCAGGTGGTGTGCCGCTGACCTACCCGGTGTACCGCTCGGTGACGAAGCAGATGGTGTGCCGACATTCCGCAAGCATGTCAGAACAGTGCAGGTCTTATGTCTTAGCGACAAAGCGGATAGTGTGTTAACTTTTCGCAGACAAGTTCAGAACAACACATGAGTTGAAACGTTTTCAAAACAGCTTTGGAAAATTCGAATTGGATTTTGGTGGAAATATGCCTTCTAGGCGTTATTGGCCATGACTTAACTTGGCAATAACTTAACAGGCATTTACAATGTCAGGCCTTTGTACTAACGCTATATTAGTTAGCACGCAGCGTATTGCTGCATACACGCGGGGCGTGCAGAATTATCACTGCAATTTACGCTCACGTTCCTCGATGATGGTTCTGTGCAAAAGTATGGTGGTGTTTTCTAGTGGCCATTATTTGTGTGCGGGCGGAACGAACACACCTGAGAGCAATCGAAAGCATAAGCTTCAACACGCGGAGACATCGTAACATAAAAACAATACATCCGAATGGGCTAGGGTGAAATCCCTTGATCTGTTACACCTTTTGGTGCGTGATGCTTACTGCAAGCCTGTATCTCAACCTGCCAAATACAATACACCAATGCAGGCTGGCGGCAGCGATTACCGAATGGTGTGCATATGCTGTTTGTGAGACGCATTTTCCATCCGGTGGATCCTTACTGATCTACGCTTTTGCCGTGCGTGATACGACACAAACTATGCTGGACAAAATATGGTAACTGAGAGTTTTGCACGCACTCCTTGCTCGTGTGCTGTTATATACACACTGTTGTCATGTTTAGCCTAGTTTCATGTAAAGCTGCATAGGCCGCTGTGGCGGGAGGGGAGCTCATGCTACGCCGTAAACATTGCCATCCTTCTTCGATGCCATTTCCATTCTTTTTTTATGTCTTGCATTATATTGGTACAGCTGTTGATTTACCTATATCATTTATTGGTCATTTACAATGGGCAGGTACATGCCATTATAACATTAGGCAGGTAAGAGTTTACTACTTAAGTTCGGCATGTCATTTACATTGTGTGCAACGTAAATGATATGACGTTTACATTGCGAGAATGCGTGTGTGTGTGTCGGGTGTTCGAGGCTATACCGGCGTGGGTCGGGTGTTCGAGGCTATACCGGCGTGGGTCGGGTGTTCGAGGCTATATCGGCGTGGGTCGGGTGTTCGAGGCTATACCGTGTGGGTCGGGTGCTCGAGGCTATACCGCGTGGGTCGGGTGTTTGAGGCTATACCGGCGTGGGTCGGGTGTTCGAGGCTATACCGGCGTGGGTCGGGTGCTCGAGGCTATACCGACGTGGGTCGGGTGTTCGAGGCTATACCGGCGTGGGTCGGGTGTTCGAGGCTATACCGCGTGGGTCGGGTGTTCGAGGCTATACCGCGTGGGTCGGGTGTTCGAGGCTATACCGGCGTGGGTCGGGTGTTCGAGGCTATACCGCGTGGGTCGGGTGTCCGAGGCTATACCGACGTGGGTCGGATGTTCGAGGCTATACCGGCGTGGGTCGGGTGTTCGAGGCTATACCGCGTGGGTCGGGTGTTCGAGGCTATACCGACGTGGGTCGGGTGCTCGAGGCTATACCGACGTGGGTCGGATGTTCGAGGCTATACCGCGTGGGTCGGGTGTTCGAGGCTATACCGGCGTGGGTCGGGTGCTCGAGGCTATACCGTCCGGCACTGGTATATTAGGCGGGTGATCGTCTCTGCCGTGCTTTGCCCGCCCCGTAGAGCTGTCGCATTAGTTGCCTACCCCAAACAGTTGTCTTAGTTGCCTTCCCCAAACAGTGGTCCTAGCTGCCTGCCCCATAGACCTGTCTTCTTAGTTGCCTTCTCCATAGAGTTGTCGCATGAACATGCGATGCCAAGATCTTCTGCATCTCTGCCTTAACATCCCCTTGCATCGCCAAATATTTGGAAATGCAGAAGACCCCCAGCCATCTGAAGTGGGACGCTTGTTTTCATGGGTTTTCTCGCAACACGCTTTTTGTCGTCTCCACAAGCGCAGCATGAAGGGTCTATGACGATGCGAGCAAGGGATGTCCGTATTTTCCTGTGGGCTGGGGCACGGCCTGCGCCCAGTCCTGATGCTCCGCCCGGTTATGCTATTGGGATCGAGGTAATGCCCTTTTACAGGTCCGTCTGAGAGAAGCCGAGCAGCCACGAGGGTACAGGCCTGCGGTCGGCAGCGTCTTCTCGCCGTCAGCTCCGCGTGATCCGGTACCTCATGCTTGCCAGCCCCGAGAAGCCCACTGCCGTCAGCGCCTCCTCGCCTGTCATCACACGCTGCAGCTCCATCTGCCGCACCATCCGCAGCACCAGGGCCACCACCTCCGAGAGGCCAATTCCCGCGGTTGGCAGTGCCTCCTCGTCGGACATCACACGCTGCAGCTCCATCTATAGCACCATATGAAGTACCACCTGCAGTACCGAGGCCAACACCTCTGAGAGGCCCGCGGTCATGTGGAGATACTGGTGGAGATGCTGGTGGAGATGCTGGTGGAGATGCTGGAGTGGAAGGCGGTAGCCCGCAGGCAGTAGCGGACGGCAGCTTTAGCGGGCAAGAGGTGTCCTGCCGCGAGAACACCGGCGGACCATCCATCCAGCTGTAGCCGACTCGGCTCCGGCCTGTGGCAGATGACAGGAATTTCAGGCAGGGCTTTCCGCTTTGCGATCTCCCAGCAGGTGAATGCGACGTATTGCAAGCACTTTAAGCTCATTTCTCTGTAGTTTTAATGGATGAAATGCAAACCGATGCTGGTACATAAACGATCCGTGTGTTGAGCATTGATGCATCTCAGAACAGATCACTACAATCCAACACACGGAACAAGCCAGCAAAAATATATCTCAAACCAAGGTCTAACACTCGTAACAAGCCAATGCCGTGCGTTGCAGCCAAAGCGGGTGCCGACAGTGTGGTGGCTAAGCTGCGCCTCTGTGAGAGCAGAGGTACCGGGTTCGAATCCCCGCGGTACCCGCCCCTCCTGGCGTGGTGGACGGCAGGCGACGCCCTGCAGCATCAGTAGCTGCAGGCGTCGAAAAGCCCCAACAAAACACAGGTCACAACTAAGGTTGACGTGATATGCGTCAGGCGCCCACCGGACTACGCAGCGCGCCGTGGTCCCCATGGACTAAGCAAACATTAGGGCAAATAATGCAAACGTTGAGTCCGTCGCTTTACGTTTGCCACGCGGGTACTCCATCACCGCTCCAGTGTGAGCCAGAAGAGTTCATAGCATGGGAAAGCCAATATATAGAACGGCTACCCAAAGAGAACGGCTGACGGGTTGGGCTGGGTGCAGAGTTCTAAGGATGTACAGGTATGATGATGAGTTTGGATTGGGGCGCAAACTGACGGGTGCAGTCGACGCGTCCGAAAACACGAGGAAACAACAACAAAAAGATAATGGGTTTGGGCAAGGCGCTCATCAAATCTCGGGTAAACACTTGTACTGTAAGTGCTTACCCGAGCGTACTGCAACGCCACTTCTCGTGTTTCCTCCAGTCAAAATTAGCTCCATGAACTCTACTTCAGCAGTAGGGAAGGCATAACAGAGCACAGGGATGCAGTGAAGACCAAAGTGCAAAATATGCCTGCTGACCTTTCTTAGCGCTCTTCCTTATTTTAGAATAAAAAAGCTTGAATTACCAACCAGTTGGTGGGGGTGGGGGGGGGGACAGCTGATTCCGAATGAGTAGCGTCGCAACGCGCAATTATTGAGCCGTCTTGATCGTCTGATGCGCTATCTCTTGGGCTGGGACGATCAGAAGCGTCCCTCTATATTTTTCGTGGGCTGAGCCACCCCCTCCCTTCCTCGAACGCCGACTTGAGCCCCCTCCCCCGCCTTTCCACAATGCTCCTCTGAGCCTCCTCAGTGAGCATTAGCAGAAAGTGAGTACTGGGCCAAATAAATTTTAAAAAATAATGATCTAACTACTGCTTCGCTAGGCAAAAGGCACCCCAACACATCATTATTAGCATCATGCTAATTTTGAACCCAAAAGTACCCTGTAGATAACTTATGTTTCCCCAACACTGGCAAGTGCATCTGGCGCGTAGTTATGGATCCGGTGATTATACGGCACGACTAATGATGGCGGTAGTCGTCAGTGGTCCATCACTAAGGCTTATTTACACGTTCTGTGAATCGCATCCTTTTTTAAGCTTGTCACAAAAAGGCAGATCACATTAACTCCACGTGGGAAATATTTAATCCGCAGGAAAACAAGTTTGAATCTAAGGAATATCTAAACGACTTGCTTTCCTATTCTAGCATCTCGGATGGGAGTTCCAGTGGTCAAAATCCGAAAGTAAATCAGTTTTAGGAAGTGGGTAAGGCCACTCCTTTTTTGCTCTGCCTCCCTCCAACTGATTTTAAAAAGTGACCGCCCTGGTCGTGATGATTCGTTATAGGCGTCAGACAAAACAATAGCGAGCATTGGAACCTGCAACTTTTTAGCCATCTTGATCCTCTGCATGTTACAGCTCGTGGGTCGTGGTCGTTTATAGGAGGCTTGGAGCACAGCAATCGTAAGCAATGAATTGAGTCATGTTTAAAAAAGCACGACCAGAAACATTGCTTAAGACTGATGCGCCCATTGAGCAGTAATCCTGCATTGTAATAGGAATAATGGAGCGGCCCGGTGCAAGGCTGCAATAATGTCCAACGATGGATACATCCAATGCGATGCAAACATGCGACAGTGAATCCAGATGCAGATGTTTATTCAGCTATCAGCTGACCACCTTCTGACGGATCTATGCTGGCCTTCAGTAAAACGTGCGAGAATATAGGCTAATCAGATCGAAATCTGCAACCGATGAACCACCTTGATCTCTTTCATATTTCGTATATATTGGGCCGTGATTATTCATGACAGGCGTCAGGCACAGCAATCGTAAGTAATGGACTTATTCATGTTTCAAAAAACCACGACCAGAAGCGTTATCTGTAATACGTATGTAAATTGAGCTCAAAGCCGGTAGTGGAATATAGCAAATTGGGCGGTCCAATGCTAGCCTGCCTTATTATCTGCCGATGAAGATGCCAATCCACGCTGACCTACACTGCCGCCGGATGTGGTGCAACTTACCACCGTACATCAACATCCAACAACAGTGTGGAGCAACAGAGAGTGCGCCCCCATCGCTGTAAACTTCAGCAAGTGTTGAGAGCGTCAATTCACTGGGCAAAGCACCACCAGCAGTGTTTTGCTGCATCCCATACCCGTGGCCCACTGCTGCACACAAGTCGATCATGCCGCCGCCTCTTTCTCGAGTCTATCCCGATGTGTTTTCATGTAATGTACAAGCCAGTGAGGTCTCCTCAGTCTGCTTCATGTACTGTACAAGCCAGTGACGTCTCACCAGTCTGTTTCATGTAGTGTGCAAGGCAGTGACGTGTCACCAGTCTGCTTCATGTACTGCACAAGCCAGTGACGTATCACCAGTCTGCTTTATGTACTGCACAAGCCAGTGACGTGTCACCAGTCTGTTTCATGTACTGTACAAGCCAGTGACGTCTCACCAGACTGTTCAACATGCTCGGCTTGGGTGCGGTATAGCGTAACATGCTTCAAGAAAAAGATGCAAACCGAAGGAAATACTGACATCAACTTACGGATATCTGTACGCACATCTTAGTGAGCATATCTAACCTAATACGTATAGCTTAGATGACGGGATAGAACAGACCAAAGAAGTAAGTGAAACTGATCAGCCGCTTAACTTTTGTAATTGCAGCGTTACTTTTGTCTGGTACGAATATAGTGTCACAACAATAATGTGGATCATATCTCCATTCTCGTAGCTTAAGCCGTATCCAAGGCTTCTCTGCGGTGGGTTGACCTCGATCTGCTGGAGATGATAGGTCACAGCGCGTGTTGTAATCCCGCGTTGCCACCCACCATTTCAAGCAGGTCAGTGTCAGCACGAAGGACAGCAATGTTCAAGGGGTTAGCCATTTTCCGTTGGAGGAATCCTTGCTGGCCCAATCTGCTTGCTTAGCGGTAAACAACACGAGACATTGCAAAAGCAGACCGCAAGCAGAGAGCAGCATAGAGAGCGGCAGCTGCAGGATGTTTAAGCAGCTCCACATGCGTTAAGATAGGTCTGAGCTGATGTTCAGGGCTTTAGGCACGACCACTGATTAAACACCAGGCTACACCAGTCGGAGTTTACTCAGAACAAAGGCAGTACTGCAAAGGCTATAGCACGATTAAACCTACGGAGAAAGC